TGTCCCAAAATTATTGGTTTACTAAATATTTGCCGTATTTTAACGGCTGGAGGCACTGTAATATTTCATCTAAGGGAAAGGGACACGCCCTTTATAAATAAAATATATCCTTACATAACCACCACAATGTGTCAACAAAAATGTTAGCATGTGCCAGAGATTTCTGTAGGTCTTTAGCTGACACTCTGGGACTCTTCTTTACCTCATGCAGCATTCTGCGCTGTGCTCTTGCAGTCATTTTTACAGGACGACCACGCCTAGGGAGAGTAGCAACAGTGCTAAACTTTCTCCATTTGTAGACAGTCTGTCTTACCGTGGACACATGAACATCAAGGCTCAAGGAGATACTTTTGTAACCCTTTCCAGCTTCATGCAAGTCAACAATTCTTGATCGTAAAAGACTTCTGAGAGCTCTTTTTCTGCGAGGCATGGTTTCACATCAGACAGTGCTTCTTGAAACCAGTAAACCCAAAACAGGTGTGTGTTTTTTAAGAGTAGGACAGCTGTCAGCAACACATCCAATATCATCACACTGATTGGAGTCAAGGTTGGCTCACTCCTGGCTCCAATTAGCTCTGGGAGAAGTCATTAAGCTAGGGCCTCACATACTTTTTCCTCCCTGCACTGTGAATGTTTACATGTTATGTGCAATTAAACCATGGGAACATCTAATGTTTGTGTAATATTATGTTCAGCAGACTGTTCTTCTATTGTTGTGACTTAGATGACTTTCAGAGCACATTTTATGCCCAATTCATGCAAAACTCCACGTAATCCCAAGGGGTTCACATACTTTTTCTTGCAACTGTATATATATATATATATATATATATATTTATTTTTTCTGTTTATCTTCATGCCTTGCTAGTCTGGCTAGAGTATTCTATGGCAATCTTTTTCAACCAGGGTGCCCAGGTACCCTGGGGTGCCTTCTTGAGTTCTTCAGCGATGCCTTGGTAGAATTGCCACAAAAACTGTAAACAAGACAGTAAGTGGATCAGTCCTGCCTTTTTGTTACACAAACCACAAATTTGTATTGTGCAGCATTACAACATTGGGTTCTGTGGGGTCCAGCCGCTGACATCCTAACAACGGATGATGTAATTGGTTGAAAAGGAGGACATCAGTCACCTGAATCCTTGTTTGCCCCTCTCCATCAGCACTGGGGTCACTTTAGCTGAGTGAGGGAGAATGTTGGGACATGTTGGTAGCAATGTGCAAAGGTGCAATAGTTATGAAAGAACAAACCACTTCTAATGTTGGGGGTCCTAATTGTGTGGATGTTGATGAGTTACGTAAAACTATTTGTTTAGTTCTTACATTTTAGCATGGGGTGCCTCGAGAATTCGAGTCGAATAAATTCGCTGTGAATTTAACTTAAAAAAGGGTGTTTCTAGGCTTCAGAGAGACTTAATATTAGTGCAGAACACTGTACCTTTAATTTAAATGCCCTTGGAGTCTGCTGGGGAAGAGAAATAATACTGTCAGTCAGTATGACATGCAGATGAGTGCCGTCGATCTTAGAATCACCGCACACTTCACACTCATTTGGGCAGTCACGGGGCCAAAACCAGAGTGTGGAGCCACAGTGTGGCGGTGGAGGCAGCAGCAATGGGAGGCCATACAGCACCCTATGACAAAAATGGAAACCACCAGCAGTGTGAGGAGACCTGAAAGTGGCACATGGCAGAGTGTGGCGATAGAGACAGCAGCAATGGGAGGCCGTACAGGGACCCATGACACACTCTGGACCTGGCAGCAGCATGAGGAGGCGGTACAGGGGCCCATGACAGATTACGGGCCTGGCAGCAGCATGAGGAGTCGGTACAGGGGCCCCATGGCAGATTACGGGCCTGGCAGCAGCAATGGGGAGGCCGTACAGGGACCCATGACACACTCTGGACCTGGCAGCAGCATGGGGGGCGGTACAGGGGCCCATGACAGATTACGGGCCTGGCAGCAGCATGAGGAGTCGGTACGGGGGCCCATGACACACTCTGGACCTGGCAGCAGCATGAGGAGGCGGTACAGGGGGGGCATGACAGATTACGAGCCTGGCAGCAGCAACTTGGACAGGAGGACGTTCAGCTTCTGCACCGTCGGGTGCGTGCTCGCAAACTGTTGTCTCTTGGAAACGGATTCCAAGAAAGACTGCTGACGGAATCCGTGAAGAGGAGTAGCAGGAGAAGGAGCATCTGAACGAGCGGAATATGCCAACAAGCGACAACAGTGGCCCATGACAGATTACGGGCCTGGCAGCAGCATGAGGAGTCGGTACGGGGGCCCATGGCAGATTACGGGCCTGGCAGCAGCTATGGGAGGCCCGTAATCTGCCAGCACCCTATGACAAAAAATGGAACCCACCAGCAGTGTGAGGAGACCTGAAAGTGGCACATGGCAGAGTGTGGCGATGGAGACAGCAGCAATGGGAGGCCGTACAGGGACCCATGAGAGACTCTGGACCTGGCAGCAGCATGAGGAGGCGGTATAGGGGCCCATGGCAGATTAGGGGCCTGGCAGCAGCTATGGGAGGCCCGTAATCTGCCAGCACCCTATGACAAAAAATGGAACACACCAGCAGTGTGAGGAGACCTGAAAGTGGCACATGGCAGAGTGTGGCGATGGAGGCAGCAGCAATGGGAGGCCGTACAGGGACCCATGAGAGACTCTGGACTTGGCAGCAGCATGAGGAGGCGGTATAGGGGCCCATGGCAGATTAGGGGCCTGGCAGCAGCTATGGGAGGCCCGTAATCTGCCAGCACCCTATGACAAAAAATGGAACACACCAGCAGTGTGAGGAGACCTGAAAGTGGCACATGTTTGGGGCATGATTCATGGCGGATTTAGTCAGTTGTGTCAGGAACTGGTGGTTTGAAATCCAGACTAATCCACGCCTGATTCATTTTCACAAACGTGAGTCTCTCCACACTTTGGGTGGACAGTCGTGTCCTCCGCGGAGTTGCAATACCTCCTGCCGCACTAAACACGCGCTCCGATGCCCACGCTACTGGCCGGGCATGACAGCCTTTCAAGGGCAAATTCAGCTAGTTGGGGCCAAAGGTCAAGTTTCGTTGCCCAGTAGTCAAGGGGATTGTCTACCTCGGTTGGCAGGGTGCTGTCCAAGTAGGCCTAAGCCTGTTGTTTGAGGTCCTGCTCCAGGTCCACCTGATGCTGCTGCTGCTGCTGCGGCTGGTTAGTAGTTTCCTCACTGCGCTGGTGAAGAAAGCTACTCATCATCGACATCGACTGCAGACTGAGGCAGCCGCTGCTGGTGGAGCTGCCACTGCTCCTACCACCCCACCCCTCCCCTGCTGCCATGGCAGCGGAACACGAGCGCACAGGGCCCACAGTGTCTCTGAGGATGGACGTTGGCGCAGACAGGCAGAGACCAGCTGACTACATAGGTGTTTTTTATAGTACGTTATTTTGGCCTCCCTCTCAGCAGGTGTGAAAAAGGCCACCATTTTTGAACGGTAGCGAGGGTCCAACAAGGTGGACAGCCAAAAGTCATCCCTCTGTCTGATGGTTATTATTCGGCTGTCGCTACGCAAGCAAGCGAGCATGCTATGGGCCATTTGTGCCAAGGAATGCGAGGGACTCCCTGCCTCCATCTCCACAGCATACTGCCACGGTGCGTCTAGGTCCTCTGTCTCCTCTTCCTCCTCCTCTACCAGATGCTCCTGCTCCTCCACTCCTGTCCGCTGAGTGGAAAAACCACCCATTTCACTCAATAATTCCTGAGCACCAATGTCCTCCTCTACCTCCTCCTCTTCTTCCAGTCCTGCCCCCACAGGGGCCATGTGGCGTTGAGATCTGTGCGCCACGTCTACCGCACCCTGACCAGCCATTGTTAACAGCATTTGTTCCAGGACGTGCAACAGAGGAATGACGTCGTTCATCCCATAGTCCTGCCGACTCACGAATAGCGTGGCCTCCTCAAAGGGCCTGAGCAAGCGCAGGTGTCACGCATGAGCTGCCAATGGCTGACATCTAAGTTACACAGGGAGTACCTTTATCTGCTTTTAACATCAGGAAATCTGTGATGGCCTTTTGCTGTTCGTAAAGGCGGTCTAACATATGTAGGGTTGAATTCCACCTTGTTGCAACGTCACAGCAGCATGAGGAGTCGGTATAGGGGCCCATGGCAGATTAGGGGCCTGGCAGCAGTTATGGGAGGCCCATAATCTGCCAGCACCCTATGACAAAAAATGGAACACACCAGCAGTGTGAGGAGACCTGAAAGTGGCACATGGCAGAGTGTGGCGATGGAGACAGCAGCAATGGGAGGCCGTACAGGGACCCATGAGAGACTCTGGACCTGGCAGCAGCATGAGGAGGCGGCGGTATATAGGGGCCTACATGGCAGATTAGGGGCCTGGCAGCAGCTATAGGAGGCCCGTAATCTGCCAGCACCCTATGTCAAAAAATTCAACACACCAGCAGTGTGTGAGGAGACCTGAAAGTGGCACATGGCAGAGTGTGGCGATGGAGACAGCAGCAATGGGAGGCCGTACAGACCCATGACAGACTCTGGACTTGGCAGCAGCATGAGGAGGCGGTATATAGGGGCCCATGGCAGATTAGGGGCCTGGCAGCAGCTATGGAGGCCCGTAATCTGCCAGCACCCTATGTCAAAAAATTCAACACACACAGCAGTGTGAGGAGACCTGAAAGTGGCACATGGCAGAGTGTGGGCGATGGAGACAGCAGCAATGGGAGGCCGTACAGGGACCCATGACAGACTCTGGACTTGGCAGCAGCAGCATGAGGAGGCGGTATAGGGGGCCATGGCAGATTAGGGGCCTGGCAGCAGCTATGGGAGGCCCGTAATCTGCCAGCACCCTATGTCAAAAAATTCAACACACCAGCAGTGTGAAGAGACCTGAAAGTGGCACATGGCAGCAGAGTGTGGCGATGGAGACAGCAGCAATGGGAGGCCGTACAGGGACCCATGAGAGACTCTGGACCTGGCAGCAGCAGCAGAGGAGGCGGGTATATAGGGGCCCATGGCAGATTAGGGGCCTGGCAGCAGCTATGGGAGGCCCGTAATCTGCCAGCACCCTATGTCAAAAAATTTAACACACCAGCAGTGTGAGAGACCTGAAAGTGGCACATGGCAGCAGAGTGTGGCGATGGAGACAGCAGCAATGGGAGGCCGTACAGGGACCCATGAGAGACTCTGGACCTGGCAGCAGCATGAGAGGAGGCGGTATATAGGGGCCCATGGCAGATTAGGGGCCTGGCAGCAGCTATGTGAGGCCCGTAATCTGCCTGCACCCTATGTCAAAAAATTTAACACACCAGCAGTGTGAAGGAGACCTGAAAGTGGCACATGGCAGCAGAGTGTGGCGATGGAGACAGCAGCAATGGGAGGCCGTACAGGGACCCATGAGAGACTCTGGACCTGGCAGCAGCATGAGGAGGCGGTATATAGGGGCCTATGGCAGATTAGGGGCCTGGCAGCAGCTATAGGAGGCCCGTAATCTGCCAGCACCCTATGTCAAAAAATTCAACACACCAGCAGTGTGAGGAGACCTGAAAGTGGCACATGTTTGAGGCATGATTCATGGCGGATTTAGTCAGTTGTGTCAGGAACTGGTGGTTTGAAATCCAGACTAATCCACGCCTGATTCATTTTCACAAACGTGAGTCTCTCCACACTTTGGGTGGACAGTCGTGTCCTCCGCGGAGTTACAATACCTCCTGCCGCACTAAACACGCGCTCCGATGCCACGCTACTGGCCGGGCATGACAGCCTTTCAAGGGCAAATTCAGCTAGTTGGGGCCAAAGGTCAAGTTTCGTTGCCCAGTAGTCAAGGGGATTGTCTACCTCGGTTGGCAGGGTGCTGTCCAAGTAGGCCCAAGCCTGTTGTTTGAGCTCCTGCTCCAGGTCCACCTGATGCTGCTGCTGCTGCTGCTGCGGCGGCTGGTTAGTAGTTTCCTCACTGCGCTGGTGAAGAAAGCTACTCATCATCGACTGCAGACTGAGGCAGCCGCTGCTGGTGGAGCTGCCACTGCTCCTACCACCCCACCCCTCCCCTGCTGCCATGCCAGCGGAACGCGAGCGCACAGGGCCCACAGTGTCTGAGGATGGACGTTGGCGCACAAAGGCAGAGACCAACTGACTACATAGGTGGTTTTTATAGTACGTAATTTTGGCCTCCCTCTCAGCAGGTGTGAAAAAGGCCACCATTTTGGACCGGTAGCGAGGGTCCAACAAGGTGGACAGCCAAAAGTCATCCCTCTGTCTGATGGTTATTATTCGGCTGTCGCTACGCAAGCAACCGAGCATGCTATGGGCCATTTGTGCCAAGGAATGCGAGGGACTCCCTGCCTCCATCTCCACAGCATACTGCCACGGTGCGTCTGGGTCCTCTGTCTCCTCCTCCTCCTCCTCTACCAGATGCTCCTGCTCCTCCACTCCTGTCCGCTGAGTGGAAAAAACCACCCATTTCACTCAATAATTCCTGAGCACAAATGTCCTCCTCTACCTCCTCCTCTTCTTCCTGTCCTGCCCCCACAGGGGTCATGTGGCGTTGAGATCTGTGCGCCACGTCTACCGCACCCTGACCAGCCATTGTTAACAGCATTTGTTCCAGGACGTGCAACAGAGGAATGACGTCGTTCATCCCATAGTCCTGCCGACTCACGAATAGCGTGGCCTCCTCAAAGGGCCTGAGCAAGCGGCAGGTGTCACGCATGAGCTGCCAATGGCTGACATCTAAGTTACACAGGGGAGTACCTTTATCCGCTTGTAACATCAGGAAATCGGTGATGGCCTTTCGCTGCTCGTAAAGGCGGTCTAACATGTGTAGGGTTGAATTCCACCTTGTTGCAACGTCGCAGATCAGGCGATGCTGTGGAATTCCGTTCTGCCGCTGCAGCTCAATGAGGGTGTTCTTTGCGGTGTAGGAATGGCTGAAATGCATGCACAGTTTACGTGACATTTTAAGGATGTCTTGCAGTGGGATGGTGGATTTTAGGAACCGCTTGACAACCAGATTGAACACGTGAGCCATGCATGGCGCATGGCACAACCTTCCTTGACGCAGAGCAGACACCATGTTCTTTCCGTTGTCAGTCAACATGGTTCCGATTTTTAGTTTGCGCGGAGACAGCCATCTGTCGATTTCTCTGTTCATTACACTCAGCAGTTCCTCCCCTGTGTGACTACGTTCGCCAAGGCATACCAGGTGCAGCACAGCGTGACACCGTTGCGCCCTGCACATGTGATATGCCGGTCGGGTAATGGGACTTGGCACGGGGGTGGCGGCTGAGGACACGGCGGAAAAAGAGGTGGTAGAGGCGGACATGCTTGCTGGACCAAGGACGTGCAAACGTGGAGGCAAAAGCGTCGTGACCTGTCCAAGTTGCTGGTGCGGCTGTGCCGGCACCACGTTCACCCAGTGGGCCGTAAATGACATGTACTGTCCCTGACCGTAGTTACAGCTCCACACGTCGGCGCTGCCGTGCACTTTGGCAGAGACCGACATGCTCA